TGAGTGGTCAGCAAAGAATGCGACAGCACTTTCTGGAAGTGTCAATAAACAGGACATTTATGTGACACTGTGCCACAACCAATCAACACCCACCACCACTAGCTTAGTATTAACAGATCATCAGTGATATCTGAACTAAGTTAGTGGATAGCAACAAATCTCTAACACCAACATGATTGCATGACCTGGGAGTTAAGTTTAGTGCCCCATTCGAGGCCGAGATTGGAGACATATAACTAGCTCCTCATGGTAAAAATCAGTAGAGGTACCATGGAATGGCTGCTGCATTGGAGGGCTCAGCACACATGGGAGTGCCTAGTGTGCAGGGGCGGCAAATTATACAGAGCAGAGCCTGGTATTAGGACAGAAGGTGAGAACTCAGGTACTGCAGAGTTCCATTTCTACTTTGCATTGACAGGTTGTAAACACTGGTGGTGGACACTTCACTGTTGTCTTGTTCCAGAACCTGGGTTGTGCATTGACAGGTTGTAAACTTTGGTGGTGGACACTTCACTGTTGTCTTGTTCCAGAACCTGGGTTGTGCATTGACAGGTTGTAAACATTGGTGGTGGACAATTCACTTGTTCCAGAACCTGGGTTGTGCATTGACAGGTTGTAAACATTGGTGGTGGACACTTCACTGTTGTCTTGTTCCAGAACCTGAGTTGTGCATTGACAGGTTGTAAACATTGGTGGTGGACAATTCACTGTTGTCTTGTTCCAGAACCTGGGTTGTGCATTGACAGGTTGTAAACATTGGTGGTGGACACTTCACTGTTGTCTTGTTCCAGAACCTGGGTTGTGCATGCACATCCATTTTATACATCTGGCTGTAACTGTGATGTTCTTGATGTAATGGTGATGTTCTTGATGTAATGGTGATGTTCTTGATGTAACTGTGATGTTCTTGATGTAACTGTGATGTTCTTGATGTAACTGTGATGTTCTTGATGTAATGGTGATGTTCTTGATGTAACTGTGATGTTCTTGATGTAATGGTGATGTTCTTGATGTAACTGTGATGCTCTTAATGTAACTGTGATGGTCTTGATGTAACTGTGATGTTCTTGATGTAACTGTGATGTTCTTGATGTAACTGTGATGTTCTTGATGTAATGGTGATGTTCTTGGTGTAACTGTGATGCTCTTAATGTAACTGTGATGGTCTTGATGTAACTGTGATGTTCTTGATGTAACTGTGATGTTATTGATGTAATGGTGATGTTCTTGATGTAACTGTGATGCTTTTAATGTAACTGTGATGGTCTTATTGTAACTGTGATGGTCTTGATGTAACTGTGTTGTTATTGATGTAATGGTGATGTTCTTGATGTAACTGTGATGCTCTTAATGTAACTGTGATGGTCTTGATGTAACTGTGATGGTCTTGATGTAACTGTGTTGTTATTGATGTAATGGTGATGTTCTTGATGTAACTGTGATGCTCTTAATGTAACTGTGATGGTCTTGATGTAACTGTGATGGTCTTGATGTAACTGTGTTGTTATTGATGTAATGGTGATGTTCTTGATGTAACTGTGATGCTCTTAATGTAACTGTGATAGTCTTGATGAAACTGATGTTTTTAATGTTCTTGATATAACTCTGATGCCCTTGATGTAACACTAATGTTTTTGGTCTGTGATGTTCTTGATCTTGACTACAGTTTTCTTGATGTAACTGATGTGTGTGTGTGTGATCTTACTGCGATTTGCTGGGTTTTGCCAGAGCCAGCTGGACCATGATGAGGGTGTGACGTGTATGGACATTGATGACAGCTGCAGCCTCATGTGTACAGGAAGCAAGGATGGACACATCACTGTATGGGACCTGACCTCCTACTATACACTGTCCACTGTTTCAGGTGAGACACCTCCTACTATACACTGTCCACTGTTTCAGGTGAGACACCACCTACTATTCACTGTCTACTGTTTCAGGTGAGACACCTCCCTACTATACACTGTCCACTGTTTCAGGTGAGACACCTCCTACTATACACTGTCCACTGTTTCAGGTGAGACACCTCCCTACTATACACTGTCCACTGTTTCAGGTGAGACACCTCCTACTATACACTGTCTACTGTTTCAGGTGAGACACCTCCTACTATACACTGTCTACTGTTTCAGGTGAGACACCTCCTACTATACACTGTCTACTGTTTCAGGTGAGACACCTCCTACTATACACTGTCCACTGTTTCAGGTGAGACACCTCCTACTATACACTGTCCACTGTTTCAGGTGAGACACCTCCTACTATACACTGTCCACTGTTTCAAGTGAGACACCTCCTACTATACACTGTCGACTGTTTCAGGTGAGACACCTCCCTACTATACACTGTCCACTGTTTCAGGTGAGACACCTCCTACTATACACTGTCCACTGTTTCAGGTGAGACACCTCCTACTATACACTGTCCACTGTTTCAGGTGAGACACCTCCTACTATACACTGTCCACTGTTTCAGGTGAGACACCTCCCTACTATACACTGTCCACTGTTTCAGGTGAGACACCTCCTACTATACACTGTCCACTGTTTCAGGTGAGACACCTCCTACTATACACTGTCTACTGTTTCAGGTGAGACACCTCCTACTATACACTGTCCACTGTTTCAGGTGAGACACCTCCTACTATACACTGTCCACTGTTTCAGGTGAGACACCTCCTACTATACACTGTCCACTGTTTCCACTGTTTCAGGTGAGACACCTCCTACTATACACTGTCCACTGTTTCAGTTTATACACTGTGAGGTGAGACACCTCCTACTATACACTGTCCACTGTTTCAGGTGAGACACCTCCTACTATACACTGTCCACTGTTTAGGTGAGAACACCTCCTACTATACACTGTCGACTGTGAGACACCTGTACTATACACTGTCCACTGTTTCAGGTGAGACACCTCCTACTATACACTGTCCACTGTTTCATGTGAGACACCTCCTACTACCACTGTCCTATAGGTGAGACACTGTATACACTGTTTTTCAGGTGAGACACCTCCTCCTACTATACACTGTCAGGTGAGACACTGTTTCATGTGAGACACCTCCTACTATACACTGTCACTGTTTCATGTCCACCTCTGTTTTCAGGTGAGACACCTCCTACTATACACTGTCCACTGTTTCAGGTGAGACACCTCCTACTATACACTGTCCACTGTTTCAGGTGAGACACCTCCTACTATACACTGTCCACTGTTTCAGGTGAGACACCTCCTACTATACACTGTCCACTGTTTCATGTGAGACACCTCCTACTATACACTGTCCACTGTTTCAGGTGAGACACCTCCTACTATACACTGTCCACTGTTTCAGGTGAGACACCTCCTACTATACACTGTCTACTGTTTCAGGTGAGACACCTCCTACTATACACTGTCCACTGTTTCAGGTGAGACACCTCCTACTATACACTGTCCACTGTGAGACACCTCCTACTATACACTGTCCACTGTTTCATGTGAGACACCTCCTACTATACACTGTCCACTGTTTCATGTGAGACACCTCCTACTATACACTGTCCACTGTTTCATGTGAGACACCTCCTACTATACACTGTCTACTGTTTCATGTGAGACACCTCCTACTATACACTGTCTTTTCATGTGAGACACCTCCTACTATATACACTGTCACCTCCTACTGTTTCATGTGAGACACCTCCTACTATACACTGTCTACTGTTTCATGTGAGACACCTCCTACTATACACTGTCTACTGTTTCATGTGAGACACCTCCTACTATACACTGTCTACTGTTTCATGTGAGACACCTCCTACTATACACTGTCCACTGTTTCATGTGAGACACCTCCTACTATACACTGTCCACTGTTTCATGTGAGACACCTCCTACTATACACTGTCTACTGTTTCATGTGAGACACCTCCTACTATACACTGTCCACTGTTTCATGTGAGACACCTCCTACTATACACTGTCCACTGTTTCAGGTGAGACACCTCCTACTATACACTGTCTACTGTTTCATGTGAGACACCTCCTACTATACACTGTCTACTGTTTCAGGTGAGACACCTCCTACTATACACTGTCTACTGTTTCAGGTGAGACACCTCCTACTATACACTGTCTTTTCAGGTGAGACACCTCCTACTATACACTGTCTACTGTTTCATGTGAGACACCTCCTACTATACACTGTTTCAGGTGACTGTTTCACTGTGAGACACCTCCTACTATACACTGTCTACTGTTTCAGGTGAGACACCTCCTACTATACACTGTCTACTGTTTCATGTGAGACACCTCCTACTATACACTGTCTACTGTTTCATGTGAGACACCTCCTACTATACACTGTCTACTGTTTCATGTGAGACACCTCCTACTATACACTGTGAGGTGAGACACCTCCTACTATACACTGTCTACTGTTTCATGTGAGACACCTCCTGTATACACTGTTTGTTTCAGGTGAGACACCTCCTACTATACACTGTCTACTGTTTCAGGTGAGACACCTCCTACTATACACTGTCTACTGTTTCAGGTGAGACACCTCCTACTATACACTGTCTACTGTTTCAGGTGAGACACCTCCTACTATACACTGTCCACTGTTTCAGGTGAGACACCTCCTACTATACACTGTCTACTGTTTCAGGTGAGACACCTCCTACTATACACTGTCCACTGTTTCAGGTGAGACACCTCCTACTATACACTGTCCACTGTTTCAGGTGAGACACCTCCTACTATACACTGTCCACTGTTTCATGTGAGACACCTCCTACTATACACTGTCCACTGTTTCATGTGAGACACCTCCTACTATACACTGTCCACTGTTTCATGTGAGACACCTCCTACTATACACTGTCCACTGTTTCATGTGAGACACCTCCTACTATACACTGTCCACTGTTTCATGTGAGACACCTCCTACTATACACTGTCTACTGTTTCACTGTTTTCAGGTGAGACACCTCCTACTATACACTGTCCACTGTTTCATGTGAGACACCTCCTACTATACACTGTCTACTGTCAGGTGAGACACATCCTACTGTTTTTCAGGTGAGACACCTCCTACTATACACTGTCCACTGTTTCAGGTGAGACACCTCCTACTATACACTGTCCACTGTTTCAGGTGAGACACCTCCTACTATACACTGTCCACTGTTTCAGGTGAGACACCTCCTACTATACACTGTCCACTGTTTCAGGTGAGACACCTCCTACTATACACTGTCCACTGTTTCATGTGAGACACCTCCTACTATACACTGTCCACTGTTTCAGGTGAGACACCTCCCTACTATACACTGTCCACTGTTTCATGTGAGACACCTCCTACTATACACTGTCCACTGTTTCATGTGAGACACCTCCTACTATACACTGTCCACTGTTTCATGTGAGACACCTCCTACTATACACTGTCTACTGTTTCATGTGAGACACCTCCTACTATACACTGTCTACTGTTTCATGTGAGACACCTCCTACTACACTGTCTACTATGAGACACTGTCTACTGTTTCATGTGAGACACCTCCTACTATACACTGTCTACTGTTTCATGTGAGACACCTCCTACTATACACTGTCCACTGTTTCATGTGAGACACCTCCTACTATACACTGACTGTTTCACACCTCCTACTATACACTGTCTACTGTTTCATGTGAGACACCTCCTACTATACACTGTCTACTGTTTCATGTGAGACACCTCCTACTATACACTGTCTACTGTTTCATGTGAGACACCTCCTACTATACACTGTCTACTGTTTCACACCTGTACTATACACTGTCTTGTTTCATGTGAGACACCTCCTACTATACACTGTCTACTGTTTCATGTGAGACACCTCCTACTATACTGTTTGTTGTTTCATGTGAGACACCTCCTACTATACACTGTCTACTGTTTCATGTGAGACACCTCCTACTATACACTGTCTACTGTTTCATGTGAGACACCTCCTACTATACACTGTCCACTGTTTCATGTGAGACACCTCCTACTATACACTGTCTACTGTTTCAGGTGAGACACCTCCTACTATACACTGTCTACTGTTTCATGTGAGACACCTCCTACTATACACTGTCTACTGTTTCATGTGAGACACCTCCTACTATACACTGTCTACTGTTTCAGGTGAGACACCTCCTACTATACACTGTCCACTGTTTCAGGTGAGACACCTCCTACTATACACTGTCTACTGTTTCAGGTGAGACACCACCTACTATACACTGTCTACTGTTTCAGGTGAGACACCTCCTACTATGCACCGTCGACTGTTTCAGGTGAGACACCACCTACTATACACTGTCTACTGTTTCAGGTGAGACACCTCCTACTATACACCATAAGTTTGTGAAACTTTTTGACCCTACCAACATTGTTAGTTTTCTTCATTTACTATTTTTATTAATTTATTTTGTGTGGTTGGTTATAAGTGCAGATGGTGATAATTTGAGGGGAATATGTATAGGGATAGATGACTTGCAGATGTCTGCGGTGATTCATGCAACGTTGAGCAGAGATACTGCTGTTCTTGTTGTCATTATCACTAGAGTGTGTGCACCTAGTAGCAGAAGTTGACCCTGTTGTGTGCTCTCTAACTGGGACTGTTCTGTTTTCTTACAGCCCATGTGGGGTCTGTCAACACCTGCCTGTTGAGTTTAGGTGAGTACTGGTCAACTTAGATGTGGCTATCACAGGGTAGAACCGTCTTCTGGGTTCTCCTGTTTGGTTGTTGTCAGTTGTTGAATGATCATTATGTCTTTGTTTTCTTATTGTTGTTGTTGTCTTAAATGTCATATAAATGATATGTTTACTTATGTTTATATTAATAGAGGCCATGCTAGCATAGTGACTTGAGTGTTCACCTACTGGTTCTAAAACCCTGGGTTCAAGTCCAACTTGAATCTTGAAGTTGTTCATGATGCAGGATTAGACAGAACTTCATAAACTTGCTACCAGAAACTTGTATAGTGGTGAAGGTGGCTGACAGGACACAGACCACATCAGCCATCAGTACTGTTTATACATCAAGTCTGTTTCAATTGATGTCCATATTGTGGGTGGCTGTGGTAATGTAGAGGCCAGGACACAGATCACATCAGCCATCAGTACTGTTTATACATCAAGTCTGTTTCAATTGATGTCCATATTGTGGGTGGCTGTGGTAATGTAGAGGCCAGGACACAGACCACATCAGCCATCAGTACTGTTTATACATCAAGTCTGTTTCAATTGATGTCCATATTGTGGGTGGCTGTGGTAATGTAGAGGCCAGGACACAGATCACATCAGCCATCAGTACTGTTTATACATCAAGTCTGTTTCAATTGATGTCCATATTGTGGGTGGTTGTGGTAATGTAGAGGCCAGGACACAGAACACATCAGCCATCAGTACTGTTTATACATCAAGTCTGTAATGTAGAGGCCAGACACAGATCACATCAGCCATCAGTACTGTTTATACATCAAGTCTGTAATGTAGAGGCCAGGACACAGATCACATCAGCCATCAGTACTGTTTATACATCAAGTCTGTAATGTAGAGGCCAGACACAGATCACATCAGCCATCAGTACTGTTTATACATCAAGTCTGTAATGTAGAGGCCAGGACACAGAACACATCAGCCATCAGTACTGTTTATACATCAAGTCTGTAATATAGAGGCCAGGACACAGAACACATCAGCCATCAGTACTGTTTATACATCAAGTCTGTAATGTAGAGGCCAGACACAGAACACATCAGCCATCAGTACTGTTTATACATCAAGTCTGTAATGTAGAGGACAGATGCTCACCTCCTGCTCCAAGATTGAGTTTAGATTTCTCATTGTTGAGATCAAGCTGGCCTAGACTGGTTACCAGCTGGGAATATCCAGGGAAGTCAAGGTGGCCAGCGTGATGTTGACCATATCATCCACTGGTGCTTAGTGGTCTAATGTTGACTATATCATCCACTGGTGCTGAGTGGTCTAATGTTGACTATATCATCCACTGATGCTGAGTGGTCTAATGTTGACTATATCATCCACTGATGCTGAGTGGTCTAATGTTGACTATATCATCCACTGGTGCTGAGTGGTCTAATGTTGACTATATCATCCACTGATGCTGAGTGGTCTAATGTTGACTATATCATCCACTGATGCTGAGTGGTCTAATGTTGACTATATCATCCACTGATGCTGAGTGGTCTAATGTTGACTATATCATCTACTGGTGCTGAGTGATCTAATGTTGACTATATCATCCACTGATGCTGAGTGGTCTAATGTTGACTATATCATCCACTGATGCTGAGTGGTCTAATGTTGACTATATCATCCACTGATGCTGAGTGGTCTAATGTTGACTATATCATCCACTGGTGCTGATTGGTCTAATGTTGACTATATCATCCACTGGTGCTGATTGGTCTAATGTTGACTATATCATCCACTGGTGCTGATTGGTCTAATGTTGACTATATCATCCACTGGTGCTGATTGGTCTATAAAAACTCAAGTCCGGCACTGTATGTCCCATACGTTACTGATGTCAACAGGGTCCTATGTCCCATACGTTACTGATGTCAACAGGGTCCTATGTCCCATACGTTACTGATGTCAACAGGGTCCTATGTCCCATACATTACTGATGTCAACAGGGTCCTACGTCACTGGTGTCAACAGGGTTCTATGTCCCGTATGTCACTGATGTCAACAGGGTCCTTTGTCCCATACGTTACTGATGTCAACATGGTCCTTTGTCCCATACGTCACTGATGTCAACAGGGTTCCATGTCCCATATGTCACTGATGTCAACAGGGTTCTATGTCCCATACGTTACTGATGTCAACATGGTCCTTTGTCCCATACATCACTGATGTCAACAGGGTCCTTTGTCCCATATGTCACTGATGTCAACAGGGTCCTTTGTCCCATATGTCACTGATGTCAACATGGTCCTTTGTCCCATACGTCACTGATGTCAACATGGTCCTTTGTCCCATATGTCACTGATGTCAACAGGATCCTTTGTCCCATATGTCACTGATGTCAACATGGTTCTTTGTCCCATACGTCACTGATGTCAACAGGGTCCTTTGTCCCATATGTCACTGATGTCAACAGGGTCCTTTGTCCCATATGTCACTGATGTCAACAGGGTCCTTTGTCCCATATGTCACTGATGTCAACATGGTCCTTTGTCCCATATGTCACTGATGTCAACATGGTCCTTTGTCCCATATGTCACTGATGTCAACAGGGTTCTATGTCCGATATGTCACTGATGTCAACAGGGTTCTATGTCCCATATGTCACTGATGTCAACAGGGTCCTTTGTCCCATATGTCACTGATGTCAACAGGGTTCTTTGTCCCATACGTCACTGATGTCAACATGGTCGTTTGTCCCATACGTCACTGATTTCAACATGGTCCTACGTCTCATACGTCACTGATGTTAACATGGTCCTATGTCCCATACGTCACTGGCATCAACAGATTCTAATGTCCCATATGTCACTGGCGTCAACAGGGTCCTACATCCCATACGTCACTGGCGTCAACATGGTCCTACATCCCATACATCACTGGCATCAACAGGGTCCTACACTTGTTGCTTATCCTCCGCATGGACAACTTTGGTCCTTAATCCCAGATGGACAATGTATTCTTCTTCTTCGCGGTCACCGGCTGTAAAGTCCGGCAGAAAGTTCTGGTTGTTCGTCCACTCCAGACTTTAGTCTTGTTCCAGAACATGAGTATTGCATGCACATCCATTTTACAGATCTGGCTTATTGCAGACTGTTGGTTCCTTGCCTCTCCGACTGTGAAGGATGCCGCCAATAAGTTGACTCCAGTAACAAATTTATGGGAAGGCAGTGGGTCTGTTTTGTTTTACCCACAGTGGGGTTCCGAAACCCACATGCTGAAGATAATATATTGACTTGTGTGTTTATATCTTCACTGCCAGACAAACGACGCATTTACTCGTGTGGAGCTGACAGTCTCTTGAAAGTCATAGATGTGGAAACAATGACGGAAATTTTTGCTAAAGATCTCGTCCATCAGATCCAGTAAGTTGTTGTCATCTTGTGTCATCCCAGCTTTCATGTGGGTGGACAGATTGGTGAAGAGTGTCGGACATCATAGAAGTTCCAGCGTTGCTCCTTATTTTATGTTGGGTTCTATTTTAGTTAAGCCTTGTCTTCAGCCTCAAAAGGACACTTTGAAGAGAATAAAACTGGGGTTATATTATGGTCACACAGCTTAATTCACTCAGTTAGTGGATGTTAAATATAGATGTGAACATGAGACACAAAACTGCTTAGTCCCAAGACAAATGGACAGCATAGTATGGAATATAAGAACATCATCCATGTCTTACTACTGTACTTTCATGTCAGTAACATACACATTTGTGGAGGGGTGGGGTAAATCCAATACCCCTTAACAAGCATGTCATAAAAGGCAACTAGTTGAGTGTTTTGCTGAAATTGGGTGTGTTAGGCTGACAAGTGAAGATATTGCAATCTAACTATAGAAAACAATACAATGTGTCATCAGCTTTTTTAATGAGGAACACAGAAGTAAACTGTCAGTGTGTTACAGCTGTCATTACTGACACAGACTGAGAACAGAAAGATCCACACAGAATCAATAATGATGGATTTGCTCAAAAGTCACAGACATTTAGCCACCAGTTTCCAAACTGTAGTTAACATGAGTCATTGGATTTCAAGCAGTCAGATTGAAGACCAGCATATCAAATGTGTATGAGCTCATCACTTAAAATTGAACTGGCACCGTTACCTTACGCAACAAATGGCTAAAGAGGAGATCCCTGTGTTGGTTCGGGGAAAGGGGGGGGGGGCATCATTGTCCCATAAGTAGCATGTCCTAAAAGGCCACTATTTGAGGATAATTAGGGATTTGCTTAAATCACATTTGTGTTAGGCCAAAGGTGTAAATATCTCATCCTTGCTGTAAACCACAACACAACATGTCAGCTGCTATTTTGAGGGCGAATGCAGAAGAAGAAACTAGAGATAAAAGCACGCGATGATGATGTCACTTCACCTGGACACATGTGGAGAGCGAGGCCATGAGAGTAACTCTGCCTATCTAATTCTGTCCTTACATAATGTCATTTAATTTTTGTTGTTGTGTATGTCCTGTCACCTGTGTGTATTTCATGTCACCTATGTGTATTTCATGTCACCTGTGTGTATGTCCTGTCACCTGTGTGTATGCCTTGTCACCTGTGTGTATTTCATGTCACCTCTTTGTATTTTATGTCACCTGTGTGTATGTCCTGTCACCTGTGTGTATTTTATGTCACCTGTGTTTATGTCCTGTCACCTGTCACCAACAGCCAGCGACTCCCTTTTTGAAAATGAATTTAGCATGGATGAACTAGAGCAAGCCCTGAAGAAATTAAAACCTAGAAAATCTCCAGGCCCAGATAAGATCCACAACGAAATGCTGCTACATCTTGGCCGGTCTGGGAGAGAAGTAGTTCTCAGGCTTATTAATAAAACTTGGAGGTCAAGCAAACTTCCAAGGGCATGGAGGAATGCATATATCGTCCCCATCCTTAAAACCAAAAAGCCTCCAGATGACCCCAAAAGCTACCGCCCGATATCCTTAACATCATGCTTGGGCAAAGTTGCAGAAAGAATGATAAACAGGCGCTTATATTGGTTCCTTGAGAGTTCTGGTGTTCTATGCCATGAACAGGCAGGCTTCAGAACCAACAGCTGCACAGAAGACCAGCTGTTCAGACTGACACAAAGAATACATGATGGCTTCCAGAATAAGAAACACACAGTGGCAGTCTTTGTCGATCTCCAGCAGGCCTATGACAGAGTATGGAGAAAAGGTCTCCTGATGAAGATAATGAGCATAGGAATACATGGCAGATTGTATAACTGGGTGAAATACTTCCTGATAGATAGAACAATCCAGACTAAGATGCACAACGCAATCTCTTCTAAAGAAGTCTTGGAGGAGGGCTTGCCACAAGGCTCATCATTGAGCTATACACTATTCCTAATCTTTATCAATGACCTGCCAGAACAAATCAAGGCCGAAAAAGCCTTGTACGCTGATGACCTAGCAATATGGCAGAGTCATGAAAATGTGGAAAGTGGAGCCCAAAGACTGAATGGAGACCTTAGAAGACTGCATGATTACTGCCAAAGATGGAAACTCAAGATTAACTGTGCAAAAGACGGTCTACACAATCTTTACCAAAAGCCACCAAGTAGCAAGAAAGAATATTAACCTGAGGTTAGACAAACACCAAGTGATGAAAGAAGAGCATCCCACATACCTTGGAGTCACACTTGACCCGCAGCTCAGCCTCAAGAACCATATTGAAAACATCAGGAATAAGGCATTGAGGCGGTTACAGTTATTAAAGAGACTTGCAGGTACATCATGGGGATCAGACAAGGAAACTCTGAGGGGCTTATACCTAGGATATGTTCGCTCTGTGATAGAGTACAACAACTCACTGCTTACAACTTGTTCCAAAACTAACCTAGAGACTCTTGACAGAGTACAAAATAATGCCCTCCGATTAATCTGCGGAGCTATGCAGTCTACACCAACTGCTGCATGTGAAATCCATACAAATGTGGAACCCCTCGGGTTGCGGAGAGAAAAAGCCACTTTAGAAATTTATGAAAGATGCGTTAGGAAAAATCGTAACCATCCTAATAGACATCTTGTAGAAAACTGGGAACCCAAACAAAGAATAAAGCACAAATCGGTTTTACACTGTGTTAATGAAATTCAGGACAGATACCACCTCCCAGAAAGACGTCAAGGAATTCAGAATGTTGCAAAAAACCTACCACCACATGCTCGCTTTAAAGCTCCAGAAGTCCAAACTAAATTGGTAGGCGAGGAAACCAAACAGTCCGACCCAATCGCTCTTATGAACTCATCACTAAAGACCGTTGATTCTTACCCCCAAGAATGGATACATGTCTATACTGATGGATCAGCATTTAAAGCTACCATTAAAGCAGGTTACGGAATCTACATAGGTTATCCCGATGGATCTGTTGAAGAGATTTTTGATGCATGCGGGGAATTCTGTTCAAACTATGAAGCTTAAATAATTGCACTGGAAACAGCAGTATACCACCTAAAGACTGTAATGGATGTTTACCCCTCAAAGGTCCAAAATATTGTCATCTTCACAGATTCAATGTCTGCCCTTCAAGCTCTGGAGGGCAATGAACGCTGCAAAACTGACATAGCCAAGATAATCCTGGATGCCGATCAGCTTATTACCTCATACAACATCAGAATAGTGATGCAGTGGATTCCAGGTCACTCCGGCACACCAGGTAATGACAGAGCTGACAGACTGGCAAAGAAAGGAGCAACACAAGAACAACCACCTACAGCGACAACCCTCCAGACAGCAAAAACACTGATAAGAGCTATAAACAAAGAGACTTGGTTGAACAGATGGGCCATGGGAGACACTGAAAGAGAGGTTTATAGACATATGTCTGGCCCTGATCCTAATGACAGCATTAACCATCTAACAAGAAGGGACCAGGCCACCATCTTCAGACTTAGAACGCAACATACTCCACTCAATGGACACCTAAACAGAATACAGCCACAACACTCCCCAGAGTGCCAGCTATGTAACTACCCCTACGAAACTGTTGAACACCATCTCTTTGAGTGCCCAAAACTCAGTGAGACAAGAAGAACGCTACTCCCTCCGAGACCAGACAAGTGGAACACCTTGTACGGAGGAAAAGAACAGCTTGTGAAAACATGCAAATTCCACTACATGGCATTGGGCCAAAGGGCGAAAGCTCATGCGCCGCTGGATCGATAACAACAACAACAACATGTCCTGTCACCTGTGTGTATGCGTTGTCACCTGTGTGTATGTCATGTCACCTGTGTGCATGTCATGTCACCTGTGTGTATTTCATGTCACCTGTGTGTATTTCATGTCACCTGTGTGTATTTCATGTCACCTGTGTGTCTGCCCTGTCACCTGTGTGTATGCCCTGTCACCTGTGTGTCTGCCCTGTCACCTGTGTGTATGTCCTGTCACCTGTGTGTCTGTCCTGTCACCTGTGTGTCTGCCCTGTCACCTGTGTGTCTGCCCTGTCACCTGTGTGTCTGCTCTGGCACCTGTGTGTCTGCCCTGTCACCTGTGTGCCTGCCCTGTCACCTGTGTGTCTGCCCTGTCACCTGTGTGTCTGCCTTGTCACCTGTGTGTATGCCCTGTCACCTGTGTGTATGCCCTGTCACCTGTGTGTATGTCCTGTCACCTGAGTGTATGTCCTGTCACCTGAGTGTATGTCCTGTCACCTGTGTGTCTGCCCTGTCACCTGTGTGTCTGCCCTGTCACCTGTGTGTCTGCCTTGTCACCTGTGTGTATGCCCTGTCACCTGTGTGTATGTCCTGTCACCTGAGTGTATGTCCTGTCACCTGAGTGTATGTCCTGTCACCTGAGTGTATGTCCTGTCACCTGAGTGTATGTCCTGTCACCTGTGTGTCTGCCCTGTCACCTGTGTGTCTGCCCTGTCACCTGTGTGTCTGCCTTGTCACCTGTGTGTCTGCCTTGTCACCTGTGTGTATGTCCTGTCACCTGAGTGTATGTCCTGTCACCTGAGTGTATGTCCTGTCACCTGAGTGTATGTCCTGTCACCTGTGTGTATGCCCTGTCACCTGTGTGTATGCCCTGTCACCTGTGTGTATGCCCTGTCACCTGTGTGTATGTCCTGTCACCTGTGTGTATGTCCTGTCACCTGAGTGTATGTCCTGTCACCTGAGTGTATGTCCTGTCACCTGTGTGTGTGTCATATCACCTGTGTGTCTGCTCTCTTATAACCACCAGCTGTATGAGCAAGCTCAGTGTGGCCACCTTGTTGCTGTCAGGAGACTCTGGAGGTCACCTGTGTGTCTGGGACATGGACAAAGGGCAAGTGACCCAGACACTGGCAGCCCACAAAGGTTGGTTTCTTCTCTGCTCTAGCACTCAGTGAAGTGAGCACAGCAGATTGTCTGTGTTTAGACAGGTCAAAGCTTACTGTCTTTGTTTTCTATTTCTTGTTTTCCATTTCTCAGGCAGCTTTCTTCAGAGCTATACTTTCTGTATTCACTGTTTGGGATTCGAGGCCCCATTTTAGACAGGGACGGGTGACTTATGCACTCTACCATTGTTCAGTCAGATGTCACTATTGGACTCATGTACTCTACCATTGTTCAGTCAGATGTCAGTATTGGACTCATGCACTCTACCATTGTTCAGTCAGTTGTCATATTTAACTCATGCACTCTACCATTGTTCAGTCAGTTGTCATATTTATAGCATGCACTTTACCATTGTTCAGTCAGTTGTCATATTTAACTCATGCACTCTACCATTGTGCAGTCAGTTGTTATATTTAACTCATGCACTCTACCATTGTTCAGTCAGTCATCATATTTAATTCATGCACTCTACCATTGTTCAGTCAATTGTCATATTTAACACATACACTCTACTATTGTTCAGTCAGTTGTCATTTAACTCATGCACTCTACCATTGTTCAGTCAGTTGTCATATTTAACTCATGCACTCTACCATTGTTCAGTCAGTTGTCATATTTAACTAATGCACTCTACCATTGTTCAGTCAGTTGTCATATTTAACTCATGCACTCTACCATTGTTCAGTCAGTTGTCATATTTAACTCATGCACTCTACCATTGTTCAGTCAGTTGTCATATTTAACTCATGCACTCTACCATTGTTCAGTCAGTTGTCATATTTAACTCATGCACTCTACCATTGTGCAGTCAGTTGTCATATTTAACTCATGCACTCTACCATTGTGCAGTCAGTCATCATATTTAATTCATGCACTCTACCATTGTTCAGTCAGTTGTCATATTTAACACATACACTCTACTATTGTTCAGTCAGTTGTCATTTAACTCATGCACTCTACCATTGTTCAGTCAGTTGTCATATTTAACTAATGCACTCTACCATTGTTCAGTCAGTTGTCATATTTAACTAATGCACTCTACCATTGTTCAGTCAGTTGTCATATTTAACTAATGCACTCTACCATTGTTCAGTCAGTTGTCATATTTACTCACTTTGAGCGCACAAGTGTCTTTGATAGCAGACGCCTGCCCTGCCCCTCAGATGGGAGGCCATTGTCAACATTCTAATTCTAATGTTTGTGTCTGTGTGTGTGTGTGTCTGTGCATTTGGGAATGTGTGTGTGTTTACGCCATCAAATGCTGTTCTCTTCATGCGGGTTCCTGGGCCCCTTGTGGGGACAAGATCCACTGCTGCCCGAACAAGCATGTCCTAGGAGTCCACTGTGTGGCCATCCTTCAGAATTAGAGTACATCAGAATTAGAGTACATCTGCCTGAGGAAACCACAAGTCTGCATACAAATAAGGCAGATCTGTGAACCTGGACGTGCACGCAACACTCAGGTTCTGGAACAAGACTCAAGTCCGGAGGTGGACAAACACCCAGAACTTTCCACCGGTTTACAGTCAGTGAATGTGAAGAAAAAGAATGCCATCCCTCTTTCTCTCTGCCTGTGGCTTAATTTGTCAAACACACTGTCATAGTAGACTTGTACATGGGCTTGAATTATCATCTGATGCAGGTCAAGTTTGTGTGCAAGCCTGGTCACTCACAGCCATCTTGACTGTCTGTGTTTGTGTTTATTGTTGGTCCACAAACACAAGCATGATTCTGATGGCTGTATGAATTCTCTCAGTGATACCACCTTAACCACTTAGTCATGGAGACCCCATGAGAGAGAGAGAGAGAGGGAGGGAAAGAGAGAGAGATGGGGGGGGGGGGGGGGGGGGGGGGGGGTGGGGAATAGATATCAGTTACCTCATTAATGAATGGGTGAATAATATTTCAGCCTATTTTTGCTGTTATATCTGTAATATTCTGACTGTGCCATGGGATTAGCCACTATTGTCTTTACATGTCCGTGTGTGTGTATATTTGTCTGTATCATGTCAGTGTGTATATGTGTGTCCATGTTTGTAGAGTCTGGAGTTAACCGTGATGTGACATAATACAAAACTGATGGTAAGTTATGTTGATGATGGTCCATGTTGTTACATAAACTCAGGTCAGTGTTTGCTAATTTTGTATTTTATGTGCTGGATCATTGAAAACATTTCTTGTGTATGTATCCTCCTGTGTTTGTGTTGGCTACAAGAATGAATGCTACACTGTCATCTTGTGTATGTATCCTCCTGTGTTTGTGTTGGCTACAAGAATGAACGCTACACTGTCATCTTGTGTATGTATCCTCCTGTGTTTGTGTTGGCTACAAGAATGAACGCTACACTGTCATCTTGTGTATGTATCCTCCTGTGTTTGTGTTGGCTACAAGAATGAACCCTACACTGTCATCTTGTGTATGTATCCTCCTGTGTTTGTGTTGGCTACAAGAATGAAACCCTACACTGTCATCTTGTGTATGTATCCTCCTGTGTTTGTGTTTGGCTACAAGAATGAACGCTACACTGTCATCTTGTGTATGTATCCTCCTGTGTTTGTGTTGGCTACAAGAATGAACGCTACACTGTCATCTTGTGTATGTATCCTTCTGTGTTTGTGTTGGCTACAGAATGAACGCTACACTGTCATCTTGTGTATGTATCCTCCTGTTTGTGTTGGCTACAAGAATGAATGCTACACTGTCATCTTGTGTATGTATCCTCCTGTTTGTGTTGGCTACAAGAATGAATGCTACACTGTCATCTTGTGTATGTATCCTCCTGTGTTTGTGTTGGCTACAAGAATGAATGCTACACTGTCATCTTGTGTATGTATCCTCCTGTGTTTGTGTTGGCTACAAGAATGAATGCTACACTGTCATCTTGTGTATGTATCCTCCTGTGTTTGTGTTGGCTACAAGAATGAACGCTACACTGTCATCTTGTGTATGTATCCTCCTGTGTTTGTGTTGGCTACAAGAATGAACCCTACACTGTCATCTTATGTATGTATCCTCCTGTGTTTGTGTTGGCTACAAGAATGAACCCTACACTGTCATCTTGTGTATGTATCCTCCTGTGTTTGTGTTGGCTACAAGAATGAACGCTACACTGTCATCTTGTGTATGTATCCTCCTGTGTTTGTGTTGGCTACAAGAATGAACGCTACACTGTCATCTTGTGTATGTATCCTTCTGTGTTTGTGTTGGCTACAGAATGAACGCTACACTGTCATCTTGTGTATGTATCCTCCTGTTTGTGTTGGCTACAAGAATGAATGCTACACTGTCATCTTGTGTATGTATCCTCCTGTTTGTGTTGGCTACAAGAATGAATGCTACACTGTCATCTTGTGTATGTATCCTCCTGTGTTTGTGTTGGCTACAAGAATAAACGCTACACTGTCATCTTGTGTATGTATCCTTCTGTGTTTGTGTTGGCTACAGAATGAACGCTACACTGTCATCTTGTGTATGTATCCTCCTGTGTTTGTGTTGGCTACAAGAATGAACGCTACACTGTCATCTTGTGTATGTATCCTCCTGTGTTTGTGTTGGATACAAGAATGAACGCTACACTGTCATCCTGTGTATGTATCCTTCTGTGTTTGTGTTGGCTACAAGAATGAATGCTACACTGTCATCTTGTGTATGTATCCTTCTATGTTTGTGTTGGCTACAAGAATGAACGCTACACTGTCATCTTGTGAATGTATCCTCCTGTGTTTGTGTTGGCTACAAGAATGAATGCTACACTGTCATCTTGTGTATGTATCCTTCTGTGTTTGTGTTGTCTACAAGAATGAATGCTACAATGTCATCCTGTGTATGTATCCTCCTGTGTTTGTGTTGGCTACAAGAATGAATGCTACACTGTCATCTTGTGTATGTATCCTCCTGTGTTTGTGTTGGCTACAAGAATGAACGCTACACTGTCATCCTGTGTATGTATCCTCCTGTGTTTGTGTTGGCTACAAGAATGAATAATCTTGACATTGTTGATTTCGGCAGTGGTAATGATGATTACATTGAAAGTGTCTGCTCTGTCAGGGCACTCTCACTGACCAGCCATTTGATTGTCACTAGTCTGTTTAATTTAGAGTGATAGTGACGTCTGTGACATTAGAGTCAGTTGTGTCATCACAAGACAGGGTCAGTTATGTCATCACATGACAGGGTCACTTGTCTCATCACATGACAAGACTAGTCATGAGACAGTCTGTTCTCTGTGTGGGTTCCGCAGCTCCAGTTTGGAGAACAGAGATTAGACCCACGGCCCCCTAATGAGAACAAATGAACAAACAAACTTTATTTTTAAAGGGTTAAGAATTAGGTGCGCAGGTACATCTAACATTCTGCCCTTCTAGTCTTCCTCCTTTCATACTTCATTCATACATTGAGTAATAGTAAACATTATCAACAGCATCACAATATTAAATTCAAGCACTGGAATATACATGTTTCTAACTACGGTAATTGTAGTATATCTTGAGCTATTTCTAAATTACTTTTTGCTGGGGTCTTGTTTTCAGTAAGTTATAGGAGGGGATTAATTAGGGATGTTTCCTTCAAAGACAGATCGCTTCTACCTGCGAGTCAAAGAACCAACAGTCTGCATATGAATAAGCCAGATGTGTAAAACCCATGTTCTGGAACAAGACCAAAGTCCCACTATCCACGTGTTTGTGGTCAGCTGTAGAAAGATTGTGACAGGGTCAGTAAAAGAGTGGCCCTGGGTTGTGGTCAGTTGTAGAAAGATTGTGACAGGGTCAGTAAAAGAGTGGCTTGGGGTTGTGGTCACGTGTAGAAAGATTGTGATTGGGTCAGTAAAAGAGTGGCTTGGGGTTGTGGTCACGTGTAGAAAGATTGTGACAGGGTCAGTAAAAGAGTGGCTTGGGGTTGTGGTCACGTGTAGAAAGATTGTGACAGGGTCAGTAAAAGAGTGGCTTGGGG